AATGTCATTGAAACCTTCTGTGGTTAAAACAATTAAGCGTGTCTGTAATTGTCATCTTAGATGGTCTCTTGTGACATTGCAGGATTGCATATGTAAGACAGGAAGATTTGTTCTTCTCACAGTTGACAGTACGGGAAACACTCTCTCTTGCTGCAGAGCTTCAGCTTCCGGAGATATGTTCCGTGGAAGAGAGAGATGAATACATAAACAATCTCCTATTCAAGTTAGGCTTGGTAAGGTGGCTGCAATTTCTCTGCATTGTTTAGATTGTGTTTTCTTCTGTTTGTATCATTTAAGTCTTGTTCTTATACGATATTTGTTAATGTTTGAGAGAAAGAAGTTGAGCAATAATCACTTCACTCCTTGTTTTATGTTTAATTACTTCAGCTATATAGACTTATAGTTGGACTTTGATTCATGCTTTCTCCTGGGTTTTCCTTTTTTCTTCAAAAGGTCAGTTGTGCTGATTCAAATGTTGGTGATGCTAAAGTTCGTGGTATTAGTGGTGGTGAAAAGAAACGTTTATCTCTAGCTTGTGAACTGATTGCAAGTCCATCTGTCATATTTGCTGATGAACCCACTACTGGTATGCTTGCATCTGTGTTTCTGCACCTAATATTGGTCCCAGCTCCCAAGGTCTCTTTATCTTTGATTCTTGCCAGAGCCTCCTGGCTCAGTTGGCGCCTATAGTAACCTTGTTTCAAAACACAGGTCCAGTTCACTGACATTCCCCTGGTTTGCATCTAAACATTGAGACTCTGCCCAAAAAAGAGCTCTTTGATTCTCTATATGCACTCTGGAGGAAGTAAACAAATAAGATAAAAAAACCATTTTTTTTTTTAAAGTTTATTGATTAACTGTATGAGATTTCAGCATGGTCAAATTTGTGGCGTATCCAGGGCTTGATGCTTTCCAGGCAGAGAAAGTAGTGGAAACACTCCAACAACTTGCTTCGGATGGGCATACTGTAATATGCTCCATACACCAGCCTAGAGGCTCTGTTTATGCTAAATTTGATGACATTGTGTTGCTAACAGAGGGTGCACTTGTTTATGCTGGTCCCGCACATGATGAACCATTGAAACACTTCTCAAAATTTGGGTTGTTAGCTGAACCTTGCTCTTGATTTATTACTCGTGTCAATTATTTATCGGTCATCCTCCTACGGCTACAGTTCTAGTTTTCTTTCATAGAACCAAGAATTTTTTTTTTGTCGAAAACTTGTACTTCTTTGTATAATTCTGAGGGGGAATAAAACAAACATGGTATGCTATGTATAAATATGGGGTTAAGTGATGATTGTAGTAGTGATAAGTAATCTGTTAAGATTGCATTTAGTTAATTTCTCATTTAATTTTTAATTATAATTTTCATACTAGTCTTGGTATGCATAACTAGAATTTGGCTTGTTATATCTGAGTTATCTCTACCACTGCTGGAAATTCCTTGATGATGGGAATTCCATTCCTCTCTTTCAAGGTGAAGGTTGAAACTGAATTTCAAAAATTAGGCAATTTAGGGTGGGAGTAACTCAAATGCAACAAACTATGTTTTAGTTATGCATATCAAAACTAATAAGAGAACTAGAACTAGGAATTGACTAAAAATTAAATGGAAAATGAACGAAATGTAGCATTAGAGTTGCAAATCGTAAGCCTGAGCTTATCTGCACTTGGTTCACTTTCTAGGCTGGGAGGAACTAAACTTTTTCTTGGCTGGATTTTTCCATGATTTCAGAAAAAGTAACCTTGAACTTTAAAAAGTTTCTGTTAATGATATTAAGTTTGATTTCAACTTTTCTACTATTCTGGACTTGGTTTCCATGCCCAAAAGATACTGCCAATGACATGTAAACTGTCCGCTAAGACATGACTGGTGGAAACTTCTAGGGAACACTATCAAATTTCTAGCAGTAAACTATTTATCGTATGCACAAACTGGAATTCCTTGGACATGCTGCAACCGTGATTTGTACAACCGTATTTTTTGGACATAGAGTTTATAACATAGAGATTAGTCATCAAACTTGGTTCTTCGTTTTTTGCAACTGTCAATCTCTGCCACCAATAAAGATACTTAAAGATCTAGATTTTATGTATTTTAGTGAACTGTTCAAATGATAACAGCTTTCTGCTTTGTTCATTCCGGTTTCTGGTTTCTTGTTCCTAAAGAGACTCTTCGTCTGATGGCTCAACCACAGGTATGACTGTCCCGCTCATGTGAATCCAGCTGAATTTCTGGCTGATCTTATATCCATCGACTACAGCTCATCTGAGAGTGTTTACTCTTCTCAGAAAAGAATAGATGCTCTAGTTGAGTCATTCACCCAACAATCATCTGCAATTCTTTATGCTAGTCCACTTATCAAAAAGGAGTTACCTAAGAACAACATAAAATTTAGCAAGAAAATTATTGTTAAGAAGAAAGGTGGCTGGAGCAGGCAGTTCTGGTTGCTTCTTAGACGTGCATGGATGCAGGTTTATCTTTCAACTCTTCCTCTGTTTACATGCTTAATTACCATCTGTTACTCACTGTATGACATAATAAGATTCAGGGAAAACTTGTTTTTTGTTGTTCACAAACTACCTGGAAGTGTACTAACAATCCTGTAATATTTATGTCAGACAGGATATATTTAAGATGCAGCTGTGTCTTTTTCACCATCTTAACGGATTACTGCTGGGATGATAACTTTGCTAATTAGTTCACCAGGCAAAAGGGCTCACACAATTTATCCCTGTTGGACTTCAACAGATGCTTTTGACTCTGGGACGCAAGAGAATCCCAGAGCTTTTTGTTTAATGAGAAAAATGTATATTCACAAGGGGCCAAGAGATCCCAAGAATTATATTAATTCTGGGGTTAAAATTGCTTTCCTGTAAACTGGTGTAGATTTGTGTTACTGTCTATTTTTTAGTTGTAGTTTTAGCCTAAAAATTATCACTCAAATGGTGTAGTTGATCTTTTCTATTCTATTGATATTCTTAAATTGCTTCCTAGGCTTTTCGTGATGGGCCAACAAACAAAGTCCGAGCCAGAATGTCAATTGCATCTGCCATAATCTTTGGATCAGTTTTCTGGAGAATGGGAAGGTCTCAAACATCAATACAAGACAGAATGGGATTGCTTCAGGTATCAACATAATTGAGTTCTAAACATCACTGCTGTCTTTAATGACTAATTGGCAGAAAATTATAGTGAAAGAAATTAGTGCACAGGTGTGCGCTTCTGGTAATATCATTGCCAATCTTCTGTTGAAATGCATCATCCTCTATTCTCCAATACATTAGTATTGTGAAGTAAGTAAAACTTTTGCTTTTAGTTATGTTCTCTGTGTGTGCGTGCGTGTGTGCGCCAGGTGTTTGGGCATGTTTGAGGTACTTTC